GAGGCATGAGCTGCTGTCACAAATAATCAGGCACATGGCGATTACAAGTCTGACTTCTGATAGAACCCAGAATCAAGCTGGGGAATCATTAACTGAAGAGAAGTGGGGCAACCTGCTCAAGGGCACATAGCTAAGAGATGGTAGAACCAGGATTCAGATTCGCTTGTGGCTGATTCAAGAACCCACACCTCTAGCCACTTTTTGTTGCTGTTACATTTTCAGACCTTTTTTCCCCTTCAGTGATTGGAACAATATAATTTATATCAACTAAATCTTGTGTCTTTTTCATCTCTGGAGGTAAAAAATAGCATCAAAGCAAGATGGCATCAGATTCATGTCCTGAAGCTTAGTGAATACTAATAAAGAATGACTAGAACCAGGGCATGGATTTTCAGATAAACAAGATGGGCTTAATCCACTGTGGGAGCCCTGTTGAGATGGATAAGATCTCACAGGTGGGCTTTCTGCATTCTAGTTCCCTCTGACAAGAGAATTTGAAACAACCCATACATTTCTCTTTCATTATAAATCCCTCTTAAAATTTTTTGTTCAAAATTTACACTCTCCAAGAAGCAGTTTGTAATGACTATAGTCACATCCTTGTCCATACATTGATGATAGAGCAATGTTTATATAATATCTATATGTAACAATACAGGCATTACACATTGTACAATTCTATAAATTGCAAGCCAAACTCCAGGTAAACAAAAATTACTTCTTTTTTTATATAACAGAACTTTGTTTCTGTTAAAAGTTGCCATTCTAATAAGTGTTGTGAACTTGCTATCTGCCAATAAGTTTTCTTCCGTTAACCCTAGGGTTGCATCTAGCTTTTGAGAGAGGCTAATGGAAGTACCAAGGCACTGGATTGGGTGGAGATGGGGGAGGGAGGAAAACATGTCTGTTCTGAGTTATCTTCTACCAATGCCTTTCTTAGGTGAAATGTCCATTCTAGTCTTTGTGTAAGTCCTGTGCTGATCAGTGTTACTGCATGCTACTTGTGTGTATATGGGAATCACTTCTGCTCTCTACTATTACTTCCTAAATAAACTACACATACACAAGTTATTCCTTATCTGCAGCTCTGCGTACAGGAGGAACTAAGCTAAGACACACCTCTAAAGATGAAAATGTCCAGGCTTGGACAGGGTCTTTGTTTAGCTATGGGATCAGCATGAAGAGGTATATGGTTAAATACTGTCTTCTTTTTTTGTATTCCAGAATCAGCAAGGCACAATTTGAAAGGGGTGGTATTATTAGTGGGATGAAAAAATGAAACTTTCATTTTATTATTGAGTTGTTGACATAGTAAGGCTATGTAACAAACTACCCCAAAACTCAGTTGCTTACAACAAGCATTTATTCATTCTCACAAGTTGCCAAGATAACAAATTCGGCTTATATAGGCGGCACTTATCTGGACAGCTCTGTCTCGGGTTGTAAGTTGGCTGGGTTTGGTTCAGAATGTCAATCTGCTACATATACATTTGTTCTGGAAACAGGCTGAAGAGGCAGTAGTTCCCTGGGGAATACTCTTCTCAGAGCACTGAATCACTGAAAGCAAGAGCCAAGCCAAACTGTGCAAGCACATTTAGGCCCTTGCTTACATCACATCCACTAGTAATCCACTGACCAAAGCAAATCACATGGTCAAGCTCAACATCAATGGGCCAGGAAAGTACACTCTCTCACAGGGGCAGAGGGAGTGGAGTGGATAATAATCGTTATCCTGTGTGTTAGTGCTATAACCTTGCAAAATTATGAGGCAGTTAGAAAACATTACTCTTCCTTCTTATGGGTTTAATTTGTATATAAGAGTTAATGTTTATCTTCAGGACATGTATGTATGTGTGTTTGTACTCTCGGCTTGCACATGGTTAATCCAACAGTTACCAAATAGGCATTCAAAGGAAAGCTGAGACATATCTTGGACCCTTCTGGTGGGAAGACTTTGAAGATGGCTGCATGTGGAGGACAGAGCTAGTTAGAACATTCTTTCTGGAATTCTTGAATAAAATATTTCCGTTTGACTGAATAATTATGACTTAGAAGGAAGGAATAGAGTCTGAGGGAAAACCACCCACCCAGGTTAGGAAGATAAGTTTCAGACATGAGGGTGGAAAGTCAGGGAGGCAGGTTTGGAGCAGGAGAGGAAAGTGGGCCAGAGGGCAGGGTGTTAAAGTTGGGAATTGGGGACTTCTGATGGGAAAGAAGGATTTGATGCTTAGCTGCTATAATCTGGCCTATAAACAAAGTCATGTAGTAAGACCCTTTCTCTCACAGGTAGTAAGTCCCTTTAGGTTTTTGTTTTTTTCTCAATACTTCAGTTAAGGCTCAGTTATAGAACTTTTTATGTTGTCAAAAAGTGAAAGACTGAGCTACAAGGAAAAATAAAATATACCTATTCAAATAATTCTTAAATTGCCTTTAAGAAAGCCCATTATTCTACAAAGGAATTACCTTTTTAATGTAAACCATCAACTATTTTTTTTTTACAGTTCATTGGGAAACACAATAAGAAAAAGAGACCCTATTTTTGTTGGAAACATGAGCTTTTTTCTTTTTGACTTAGTGAGAAATCATTTATTCTTCTGATTTATAAGCATATTTTACATATTCTGGTTAATACATCAAGTGTATAATGTGGGAGTTCCCTTAAGAATGCTAAAACCACACATGTTAAAGTCAGCTACACATTATGTTAGGCTATTAGATGTCACTTTTTAATCACAACACATACATATTATATTTTTTATTTTTACTAACAGAGGAACATGCCTTTCAAAAATATTTTATTGGACGAAACTTTCTTATTCTCAGGAAAATTTTTGTTCTTTAATATAATTTATTATGCCTTTTAAAATTCTGTTTGATAAAAGCATTGCTACATTATAAATACCTGTAAAGAAAATATAATTTAAATTTTTGAGGGAAATAGTATATGTTTCTTCTCTTACATTTTCACAAAAATTCACACAGGCACTAAGAAAGACTGACAAAAATATTTTTTGTCTGAACAATATACTCCAGGTTGGAAACATTCAAACATGACTTTATTTAAATATCAAAGCTTCTCTAAAGTGAACCTTGGCTGCAATCCAATGAGCTAGTTGGGGGTTTAATCAGGAAAAGATTCTGTTAGAAGGATAAAAAAGAATGCTTCAGACAATTAGCAGTAGGCTAGGAATGGGGAAAGGATGAGCTTTCCTTTATGACTGTTTATTGTCCCCTCTAGGCCTTAGCTTTGTTGTTGTTTTTAGTTGAAAATGTATCTCATAACTCCTGGTCCTTTTCAGTTTTAATACTTTTTGATGGGCTGAAATTTTAAAAATTCTATCTAACACTCCATATCGAAGAGCATGTGAAACTTCCAAGAACATACTGATACTGTAATTCTTTTAGGAGAACATCCTTAAAGCTTCATGGGTATTGCTCTGGAGATAACCTTATTCTGCACAATTTCATATGGTGGAATAGGGGGTGAAATTTTGTGTTACAAACCATACTTCAAACCAAAGCACTTGAGAGACTCTAGTGTTCTCTTCTTGGTCTAGTTCATGTGTAGCCTGATAAAGTTCAAACTTCGTGGAAGAACAGCAAACAGCGAGCCCACTGGGAGAATGCCATTGTAGGTGACCAGAGCCTTTGTGAGCACAGAGAGAATGGGAAGCTAAGTGGTTGGCAGTTAATGAATTAGTGTAAATGGGCATCCAGGGGAGGTGAGGTTAAATGAACATGTCAGATTAGATATCAGAGGTACTTGCAGGAGTCTAAAATACCATTTGGGGGCCAATAATTTAATTAAGTCATGGAAAATTCTCATAATTATTATTATACAGATCCTGCCTGAAAGAAGTTGAAGATATTTTTTCCTAGTGCATTTACACTTTGAAAATGTTCATTTAGTTCAAGAGTGGGGCCAAATAAAAGGCCTATTGAGTGCTCATCAGTAAGGTGGCTGCCATAAGTAGCATGAAGCAGAGAGCCTTGGGGACCTGCCACTCAAGTTTAGCTACTTAGCTCCAGGCAACTGTTGCCATGATGGAAGATGGGTCTGAGTATCATATTTTCAATAACCACTCACATTTAAAAAACATTTTACATGTCAAAAAAAACCTACCTGAAGGACAAATGTGGCCTGTGGGCTGCCACCTCGTGTCCTCTGAGTTGAAACTTGGAAGCCATTTGATGAGAATTTGGATACTATCAGCTATACCATTACGGAAGAGCCTTTAGTGTCAAGGAATGAATACTCAGTTTCAGGGATCCAGAAAAACCTATTCTAATGAATACAATATTCAAAACAAACAAACCTCCCATTGGCTCTCCCCTGTTATTATATTGGTTCTCCATGTTATGAGTGGTTTTCTGTTATTATTAATAATAAAAATTATGACTAGGAACTTGCTGAGTGCCAAGTGTAAGTTTATTCTAAGAAAGTAGCATAAATTAGTTCTCTCAGTATGCAGTTTGTGGCTAAGACAAGGGAGGAGGAAATGGAGGAAGACCAGACAGAACACACAGCATGTGTCTCAGTCACCGTTAGATCAACAGAGGCCTCTTACGTGGCACACCAAGCAAGGAATGTTCTAACACAGCCCAAACCAGATCGCACAGATTCTGAGGTCTGTTTATGGATCTAAGTACTACTCCCTGAATAAGTAGTACTTTGGAATAGAAAAGGTGGGGTAGGGGTCTGATTATGAACACTTTCATTCGAGACTTTCCTAAGCTGTCTTTGGCATCAAAATTCCAAGAACCACAGAGCAAAGACAGGAGACAAGCTATCAGAACAGATTTCCTTCCTCTCATTCTTTGCAGATTACTTTTCAAATTTATCTATTGCCCCAGGTTATAACTTTTCTTTTGAGAAATGAAATGAAAGGGCTCAGGGAGGCATTCTAATGTGGCTTAAGGACCACGTGTGGACTGTGGCTCTGGAAAAAACAAACGCGTTACTTGTGTAGGCAGGAAGAGGTGCTTGAAAAGATCCATGATCCATTCAGGAAGTTGGATTTACTGTTGGAGCTCATCTCTTTCAAATATCCATTTTGGGGAGAAAAAGAAAAAGTATAATAAAGGATATTATAAGCATAAGAATCAATGGCAAAAACAACCACTTCAGACACAGGCAAAATCTATGGGTAAGGAAGGAGCATGAATATTTCCAACTCAGGATCACAGACTCCTTTAGTTTTCCTCCCTCAGAATGTCCACCAGAGCTTGCAGCAGCCGGTCATCTCTGTGCTTGTAAGGTTTGGTGTTATAGAAAACATCGGCATAGTCATTATACAGACTGTCCTCAGTGTCTTTAAGGTGGGAAGGTTTGTTCAGCTTTTCCAGGGCTTCGTAGAAATTTTCGTAAGGGATGTTGGGCTTTGCACTTGGAGACTTCTTTGGTGATTGCTTTGGTGGTGAGTTTCTTCTGAAGGCGCTTTGTAGGAGTCGCAGCATGGCCTCGGATGCGGCTCCCTCCACCTGCTCATCCTTTCTGTCTCTCCCACTGCTGCTGCTGAGGCTTTTTTCAGTCAGGGGCTTCTCATTCAGGTTCTCTTCTGTGGGCTGCTCCTAAAACACAGAAATCCACCCACAAAGGGAAGAAGGCTCATTATTTAGAGCTGGGCAGGCCAGCTGTAGTTCATGCCCACTGCTTCTCCCCCCCCCCCCTGCACCCTCACCTCCTCCTGGCAGTTGGGGAGCAGAAAGAGCACAAGGCTTAGAGTTACACTAACTCAGTTTTCAGTCCTCAATTTTCCTCTTACTGTTATATCCCTGGCACCTTTTAATCTCCCTAATTTCACCTGTAAAATAGGAATAAGAATACCTCCACTTCTGGTGGATTTGAAAACGGAATAAGATGATGTATTATAAGTGCTCATACTTATTCGTCTCCTTCACTTTGATAAATGAAGTAGAATTCATGTTAGTGGATTCAATAATTTTGAATTCATTAATTTTAATTTCTAAATACGCAATGAATGAATGAATAAAACAATAGAGTTTCATCCTATGGAAAATAAACAATTTACTACTCCCACTCCCTTTCTTCCTTACCCATGTTTGACTCACTCCCCGCCTAAAAGTTAGGGGCAGCTTCACTCACTACATTGTCAATGTACAGTTCAAAAAAAGAGCATGCCAAGAAGAATCCAGCCACACAGACCTCCCCTGAGTCCACCACCTTCTCCACCCCTCTTCTGTCATTCTGCACGGTGTTGTAGGACGTGTACACGCGGGGCTGCTTCATGTGTTCTGGCTGAGAGGAGGTCCCGTGCAAAATCAGCTTCCAGTTCACAATTCTCCCTTCATTTTGCATTCTTCCAGACTGATGAATAAGCATATATATTTTAAGCAGGAATCTTTACAGCTGCCAATACTAAATTGCAACGTTAGCTGTCTTTAGGAGAAAGGCATTCTCAGAGAAAAAAGCAACAGTGTGTGTTCTGAGTAACATAAAACAAGATCCTTCAGACTATCAAAAAAGGATTTCATAGTCTAAACCTAATTTTAAAATTTTGTGCATTCCATGTGTAGAGCTCTGTGTGAAAAGAAATACATCACTGGTAGGGGATAAATGGTGATGGAAGGAGACTTGACTTGGGGAGATGAACACACAATACAATATACAGATAATGTATTATAGAATTGTACATCTGAAACCTATATAACCTAATTAACCGATGGCACTCCAATAAGAAAAAAGAAAAACACACATTTTTAAAAAGATAATAAAGGAAAAAACTAGGAAAAAAATCACTGGATTTATTCTTGCTATGAAAATTGACAGTTTACAGGCTCAAGGATTTTAAAAAAATGATTAATTGCTTCATCATTTAATTAAAAAGCAGAACTCTCTATATTAATCTCTATATGGAATGTATTCTTGAAAAGTTGACTGTACATCTATAAATAGAATTATATTAAACAATTATCAACTTTTAGAAACATTCCATTGGGGAAAAAAGTCAGCCTCAATGGAGTATTACAAATAGCCTTCAGCATTAATCAACCCTTAAAAACTGTACATTTATGGGAATAATACTTTTCAGAAGCTCAAAAACTATGTTTAAAATAATGTGCGGAAATCTAAAATGTCTACAAAATATTCAAAAGCATAAAGTCAAATTTTGGAGATTTATCTTGGTAAACAGTTTTTCTTAGTTTCCTGATGGTGAAACTGATTTAAAGAGTGGAGTCCACATTCAAGAACAAGACAATCTACTAAGAACATTTCCTGTTCTCCCCATGAGAGCAGGAATTTTTACAGAGCCAATACTAAATTTAGCTGTCTTTAGGAGAAAGGTATTCTCAGAGAATAAAGTAACAATAACTATAGAATTTGTATTATTTTAATTGACATCTTCAAGAATAATTTCTTTTTAAAAAGTTATTTAGGCGGGTGTGGGTTAGAAGGGGTCAATGGGGGAAATAGAAGGACAACTTTACTACTTTCAGCAATAAAGGTAAATCTCTCTATATAAAAGGCTAATATGCTAAATGTCCCTCTGACCATCTGACCAATCGCTATGACACACACTGACCACCAGGGGGCATATGCTCAACACAGGAGCTGCCATGATGCACATTGGCCATTTACAAAGAAACAGCACCACGAACCTCCCCACCACCCCAGAGCGACAGCCCACCAAATTGCAGCCAATGCTGCCAAGACCCCATGACACAATATGCAGCCACAGCCCACCCCAGCCCAGAAATGGTCGCTGTGGGCACTAGGTAATGACATCACATAGCAACGCACGACTTCCTCTCCCTAGTGACTAGCCTCCTTGGAGTTTCTTCAGTCCAGGAACATGATTTGCTTTATAGCCAGGTGCAAACAGTTTATACTTTAACGAAATGTCTGTGAAGCGTTTTCTTGTGCCTCATCTCATTTGATCCTCACAGAAATCCTTGAGTAGGTAGATAGGAGACTTGGTAGAATCCTATTTTCTTTTCATTAGCCAGAAAATGGAAATTTAGAAAGTTTAGAAACTTGACCCAACTGAAAAGAAGTAAGAAATGGTGGACCTTGAAAATTACTTCAGTTTTTCTCACTGTGCAGAATATAGTCAAATACTGCTGCAGTTAAATATTTTACCCTTTGTTCTCCCTGCGTGATCTACAATAATAATCTGCTTCATGTTGATATTTACTGCTGTGTTGCTGACAATTACCTGAAAGAGAAGTTGGGGTGCTTCACTGGGCTGGAAAAAGTTTAGCCAAATCAGAAAGCAGGTCTAATTAAGCAAGTTTATTCTATATATATAAAAGGCTAAGTTGACTCGCACGTGCACAATACATATAAAGCTCTCGCTGGCGCCAGTGTGTTTCGATACATTATTATCGAATGTGAATTTGGTTGACACTTGTATTATAGAGAAAGGGCAAATGGAGATATTAAAAAATTTCTTCTAATTAATTTTCTTTCAAATGTGCACGAATCCATGCACCGGGCCACTAGTTTTAAATAAAAAATTATTTAGACATTGAAATCTGGCACTGCTGATACTTATAACATATCTCTCTCAGGAGGACTCAGACCAAAACCCCATTTATTTATATGCTCAACAATAGAAAATGCTGGAGAAATGATGCAAAAATAAATAATTCAGCTGTATAAATCAGTGTAATTCAGCTGTATGAATAATTTGGTTTTTTGCTCTGACACCCCTTTATTGTTGTGACTGTATGTTATCATTATAGGAAGATATCAAAGAGTGTTAGTAAACATAGTGAAAGAACTGAGACAAAACAAAGTCATATTAAATAAGTCTTCTCTAATAAGTAAGCTACTTCTAAATGGCCACTGTAGTAAATATTTTTAAAAGTTCCTTCATGTGACTCCAGTGGAGTGTCATAAGCAAAGCTGGTCTAGCATTTAACTATGGTTTTTTTAAAATATATTTTTATTGATTTCCGAGAGGAAGGGAGATGGAGAGAAATAGAAACATCAATGATGAGAGAGAATCATCGATTGGCTGCCTCCTGCACACCCACTATGGGGGACTGAGCCTGCAACCTGGGCATGTGCCCTGACCAGGAATCGAACCATGACCTCCTGGTTCATAGTTCGACGCTCAACCACTGAGCCATGCCAGTCTGGCTAACTATGTTTTTGAATACAGCTCATTCTGGTGAGTAGGTCATGTGGGACACTTGGATTTGTCCCACAATATGTCACACTGTATATCAGAATATCTTCTCTTTCTTCCTCTATGGCCAGTGCCTAATATTTTTTAAATCTATGTAGCCAAGTGGCAGGACTTGAAACACTACATCTTGTCATTACTTCAACTACAGAGTGATCAAAGTTCCTTAGGGCCCTGATGAATGATGACACCAACCTTAAAACACCTTCAATGTTTTTAAAAGTAAGCTTGTGTTTCTATAGCCTTTCCTTCTTACTTACCATGTCTGTAATTCGCAAAGTCCAGGTGCCTACTGGGTTCTCTCCCCATGTGTGAACAGACATGAAGTCCCAATTTTTAAAGCCATTAGGAGATGTATCCCGCTCTCTTTCAGCCAACAGAACAGTGTTGGTTCCTATTTTCATACAAGAAATACAAGTTAATAGATGTCCTAACAGCTCTGATAGGACACACTCTAGCATCTGATAATGAAAATGAAAGCTGGGAGAGATTAACCCTCCAAATGTTTTTATCCACAGTACATTGCACATTATCTGACATATAATAAGTTCTCAATCCATACTGTAGAAAACAAAATAATGAATGAATATAGTAAGGTTTATTTGAATAAGAAGAACTCAGAGACCTACGTTTACAAACTAAATTAAAGAAGAGAATCAAAGACCTAAAATACATTTTGATGGAACTGTCATTTTGAAATATAAGAGGAAGTTTTGAGAATTTAATAGGTGCCTGAGTCTACAATCTTGTGTATACATTAAAAACTATGTTAATTTAATAATCTCTTGTCATATAAAACTAGTAACAGGAGTAACTCTAAATTTTCAAATCCAAGCTTCCTATGGAACAATAAATAATATTACTTTCTAAGTGAAAGGGTCAAAAAACTACAGGGCCATTAATGAAAAAGCAGTCCACCAACCTTTCAAGACAATTCCAAGATATCTAGAAAGTGTAACTCCAAAATTAACAGAACCTATTCAAAAGCTGTAAGAAGTTCATATCCTGGAAGGACATTATGGAGATAGCTCATTTTTCCTCACACATCACCTACAGACATGGAATTTATTCAGAGACTGCATGTGGAAGAGTGCTGGGACAGCTTCTCTTGGTGGATTATGGTTTGTGTTCACAAGCTCTTCCCATCCAGAATCTCATCTGACTTAGTGCCCTCTCAGGAAAGAGCAACTGCCCATATATCACATCATCTGCCTTAATAATATCATTATGGGAAATTTGTTAGTCTTCTCAACCCTCTTTCATGGATCAGAAGTCTCAGTTTTTCAATTGATTCTGATGTATCTATCAGCTTTATTAAGTATCAGAGTAATTTTCATTAACATATTACCTGAGAGAAAAGAATGATAGATCAGTGACCTGGAAAAATGAGCACAATTTGAAAATGTATATTATGGTATTCATTAACTCCAGAAAGGCTTATTAATTACATTTTTACTTGAATAGACCTTGTTCTTTGCTTATCTAAGGACCTGTGGGAATGAGCAGGGCAGAATTCTGATGTTAAAAAAAAGGGGGGGAGGGGGAGAGAAGAAGCATATTTTTTAAGACCTGAAAATATCTATTGGGAGACTTAGTTCTAAAAGAAACAAAAACTCATTTATTTGAAGTAATTGAATTTACATTTAAACAAATGGTTTAAAAGAAAATTTTAAAGTTAAAAAAAAATTACCAAGAGCAGAAGTGAGTGTGACATGAAGGTCTCCTCTTCGGGAATATTCAATTGTTGCTTCAAATTGTACATGTTCCAGGGACTTGATAGCATTTTCCTGTCCCTCACAAGCTCTTGTTGGAATTTCAATGATAACTTCTCCATTAGCTTTCAGGGCTCTAAATATATTAATGAATCTCCATTGAATAAAGTGTATCTCTTCCTTACACTTTATACAAATATGTACACATCAGTCTTGTACTTGATACTTAACTAAGCTTGTTGTCTCTCCCTATTATGAGTAGAACCTAATTCAGGATTAGCTATAAGTGAATAATGCATAGAAAATGGTAAGGCTTTTATAGAAATAGAAGGAAAAAAAACAATTCTACAGTTTCATCATAAATAGCAAAATCAATCCTGAGAAAAAAGAACAAAGCTGGAGGCATCATACTGCCTGATTTCAAAATATATTAGAAAGCTACAATAATCAAAACAGTATGGTACTGGCATAAAGACAGACATATAGGCCAGTGGAACAGAATACAGAACCCAGTTAAGTGTTCTTACCACGATAAAATAAAAAGAAAAGAAAATAGTAAAGAACACAGGTACTTGAAAAAAATGCTGTTTACTGTGGAATCGAATTCAGGCATGTTTGCCTTGGACCCATCAAAAAGTGGTCTATTATTGCAATGGACATGTCTTCCATGCCTTCTACCCTTGGGTATTTTGTGTGAGTGGGTCTTCAGTATAATCATGATTGTTGTGATAGAATTAACAAGACAGTCATAGCAGATTCTGCTTCCGGGGCTAGATGTGGTGGGTCAGATGTGGTCTGTGTAAAAGCAATATGATAAAGATTCCTTCATGGAAGAAAGATGATGAATCACACAGCACTGTGGTATGAAGTGAGGCTCTTGAGGTTTGGATAATACTTGTTGGCGAGTACTGTATTTCATCAATTCTAAGATGCATTTTTTCAACATTTTATCATCTTTGAATTTGGGATAAATCTCAAAACTGATGATTGATAATAGTTTAAGTAGATATGATTGTTCTTAGTGCTACATAAAACAATGGTACACCTTAAACATAATGCTAGATGGTAGGTAGGCTATGAGAGGAAAATGCAAATATGCTAACATGATTTACAGATCTTTGATCTCAATATTCCCCCTGGACCCATAGCGAACACTGGCAAATGCTACCTCCATCTACTTCAGAAAGGAAGGTGAGAAAAAAATTAGACAAAGTGACAAACATATCAAATAGTGCCATGGGCACACAGTTATTCAAAATTCCCGAGACACTTACCTGGGCTCAAAGTCATTGTCCTTTATCACACACTCTTTCTTCTCAGGCACACTGTTCCAGGTTCTCGGATCAGCTAAGTCCACCAGAGCTTTGGCATTTAGCAGCCCGAATCCAAACCGACTGTTCACCATCAAGCCTGCGCCATTCTTTTTCCAGCCAGGGTTATTGGCCAGTGGGTCATACTCAGAGGTCCAGACAACCAAGTGCTGCATATCTCGCCAGGTTAGATTTGGACTGGATGGAAAGTGACCCAAAACATCTTTCAGGGACAAAATGAAGTTTCCTTGCAAAAGCAAGTGCTAAGAACAAGCATTTCTATTCAGAAATTATGAAGTACCTTTTGTAACTGTACTTAATGTAATTCTAGCATTACTATTTGTATGTCTTTTCATTTAGAAATCAAAATACAGTATGGAAAACTTCTCCTCATACCATGCAAGTTAAGTTCTTATCATTAGTAAAATTTTGTCTTCAGCATTGTAGAAATATAGGACTTGGTTCATGATTCCTAATTAGTTAAGTTTACCTGGAGCAAAAATAAAAATGACAGCACCTCCTTTCATTCTTTCAGTCTTCTGCTGTCCATTAACATCCTTGGCATTTTTAGCATTATTAACAAAGTCCTCGACTTTCTTCTTGAGCAGACTCAGATTTTAAAGATATGGGCTGGCTTCCTACTCAAGTAGTTTTTGTTTCTTTTCTTTATATATCAAAAGTGTCAAGAAACTCTTAGCTACTTGAGATCACTCTTGTAAGATCACTATGCTTAATACTATGGGGATATTTAAAGAGGTGGTTCTTGTTTTTAAGAAGCTTACACTCCAGTAAAAAAAACTAAGGTTATTTTTTTATTACTATAATATATCTGCTGAATAATGTGTTTATGGCATAATGCACTGCAGGAGTTTAGTAGAGAGATAATTATTTCAGGTTGGGAAGATTCTAGGGAGATTTTGCTGGGAGGAAATATTTGAGCTGAACTTTAAAGAGTGGGTAGAATGTCAAGAAGTGGAGTGAGAGAAAAGAGAACGAGGCAATGGAGCAAAACCTGTGCGGTGGGGGGAGGAGGGGGGGAGGAGGTGAAGTACATGATGTGGCTCAAGTACAGTGAATAGTCTGGTTTGCTGGAGCAGGAAGAGGTGATAAGGAGTACTGAGCCAGATGGTGAAGGCCTTGACTGCCAGGTAAGGGGCTTATACTTTATCGTTTGGGCAATGGGGAATCATTGAGAAATTTTGAGCAGAGAAGTGGTTTAACCAGAAGTCTTGATACAATTAATTTAGCAACAATATAAAGATAATCATTGGGTTGTTAGGTCTATTATAATGCAGATAGAGCCTTTCCCAATCACCCTATGTAAAATTTCAGTTCTCCCAACGCTCCTGAGCATTATTCTCCTGCTCTACTGTTTTCTTTTATAGCATTTATCACCTTCTAACATATTGGGTAATACATTTGTTTTATATATCATTAATGTCTGTCTCCCCTGCTAGATTTAGCCATGAGAAGGGCTGAGATTTTAGTCAGTCTTGTTCTCTGATGTGTACCTAGCACTCAGAAGAATTGCAGGCACAGAGTATAAGCTGAGTAAATATTGGTTGGCTGAATGATTGAATGTGACTACATGTTAACTAGCCCCCAAATATAATTTTAAAACTTACTGCAATTAATCAGTAGAGTCTTTCAAGATCTCGAGCTTTCCCTTAGCTTTGAGACTTGCATTGTGTCTATTAAGCCAGTCAAGCATTAGTCCTCAAGGTTTCTAGCTTATCACTAGGTTGTGAAACAACCCTCAGGAAATCTGGCTCAATTTGCTGTTTTCTCCCTAGAGTCAATAGCATAGTGGTTAAAATGTCTTCTGGCAGGTATTGCAAAGGATACCTGGCAGGCCTCCCAGGGAAGCGCCCTCCCCACATCAGCCTGGGTGCAGAGCCCATGCAACTAGGTCTCTCTAGGGCAGTGGTTCTCAACCTTCCTAATGCCGCGGCCCTTTAATACAGTTCCTCATGTTGTGGTGACCCCCAACTTCATTGTTACAAATTGAACATAATTAAAGCATAGTGATTAATCACAAAAACAATATGTAATTATATATGTGTTTTCCGATGGTCTTAGGCGACCCCTGTGAAAGGGTCATTCGACCCCCAAAGGGGTCGCGACCCACGGGTTGAGAACCGCTGCTCTAGGGAGTTGCAGTCAAGGACTCAGCTCCTCTACTTGGTCAAACTCTTCCCATATTTACATTCTTAGCCCCTCACACCTTTCTTAGGTCTCCTTATCTGAGGCCTCTGCTAAGGCCTCCTTATGGGGGGAGTGGGAGAAACCTTAAAGACATTTTCCCCCCTCTACTTTTCCACTCCTAGCCTTCCCCAAGCCCCACCCCACCCCAGAATCCATATAACTACCAGAGCCTTTTTTTTGGTGGGGGGGGGGGGGCGGTCCCTCAACAGTGAGAAGACCCTCATGAATGTGATGCTTCACCTGACCTGTGACTGGGGCACCATTCTTGGTGGGGGGGGGGGGCAAATGGACTAGGGTAGTCATTGTTTCCTCTTGTTTTAGATTCTGCCAGTGTGGTAAGAGATTAAAGGCTTAACTCTTTCATTTTTGGTTTATTGCTTTAATTTGCTACTCTGACACCTAGAAGCTCAGTAGATTCACTCTCGTATCAGCTGATCTCCTGACAAACATACCAGCCAGAGAGTGACTGATGGAGGCCTTAGAAAGACTCCAGTTCAGTGATTCTCATGGGTTCCAGATTGCTTGCACCATAATCTGGGACACTTGTAAATATTGAAAATTCCCACGTCCTATCCTAAACCTACTGAATCAATATATCAGGGTAGAGCATTATTTTATAATCATATTTGAAAAAAACTAACCAGTTCTATGTTATAGCTAAAATAATGAGTTGGAAGAAAGAATACAAACATATAACTAAGACAATTAGAAGTCATTTCAAATCATGGAGGACAGAATAGAGAGTAATAAAAGGCGTATTACACTATATCTACTACCAAAGACCCGTGTGGCTTTAAGCAAGTCACTTTATTTCCCTGGTCCTGAGTTGACTCATTTATAAGAATAGAGGGATGAGTATAATAATCTCCAGAATTCCTTACTGTTCAGACCTCCTTTCTGCCCAGTATCATAAATACCTCATCTTGTCTCCACCTTGGCCATCCCACATTTAGGAATAATTAACTAGCTGAGGAGAAATGGCTATTTTTTGAATGTAGACATTAATTCTGTCCTATAAAGCATTTTATTGAAATTCTTGCATCTTCCCAGTCCTTTAAAGGGAGTTTTAGGTAAAAAGCCTTTTATCAAGGTGACCAATGGGCAACTCACCACTTTCTGATTTGACCATCTATGTGACAGGTGTTTGTTTGGAGGTTGGGATGAAGAAGTGTACTAAGGAAGCATAAGGCAGGGTCTTGATAATCAAACACAAAGCATAGACTTCCTATATTTTTATAGTAGAACATTTGTTTTATATTTAATTGCATGTTTTATTTTTTTAATTTTCTTTTACCTATTCTTTACAAAATATTCAAGGGGGTTTCATTGCCATGCAATTTGGAAAATTAAGCCTATTTTCCCAACAGAGTTATTCTTTATTTGTGTGATTGCATTTCATAAATGAAAAGGAGCTGCTAATAATCATACATTTCATTCCTGACAGCCTCTCTTTGTTAATTAGTGCTCAACAGCACCACAATAATTAAAAATTTTAAAGCTGCATTAGGTTGCAAATCAAGAATATATTTATAGAAAATAAGGGTTGTGGAATTAAACATTGAAATTGAGCATTGCTTCTAATTAGAAGAGTGTAGGTAAAGTAATTGGAAACAAAATTCTAAAGTGAAAGAGTCCTAGAGGCTGTCTCATTCTGCCACTAATCGCAACTAGGTAAGTCCACTATGTTGAAGATTTCCTAATCTGGAGACTTTTCAACATTTCACAACCCACTGAGTCTAGGATTTCTTTGATGTGGTTTACCCAGAGGTTTCATGCAGCATTGAAAGTTTATTTTCCTTTCTCTAGCCTTTAATGAAAATAGAAGATTGGTTCATCTGTTTATTTAATACCTCCAAACATGTCAAGGGATTCAGTGTTTCACTACAGAATTTGTGTTCTCTATTAAAAATTACTCTGATTTCCCTTGCTCTCACCACAGAAGACTGAGGTTATTGCCTGCCATCTTTCTAACGTCTACTCACTACATGACAATAATGGTACCATAGGCATTTATCGAAGGAATTCCTATCTTTTTTTATGCCTATTGAGTACCGGAATGAACATCTTGGCAATTACAGCTAGATGAGGTTGCAGAAAAAAACATTTGTAAATTAACTCTTTATAGCAGTGTTTCTTAAAATTTGGTTAAGCTAGCTACTAGCATTCAAACTGCCTAGGACACTTATTAAAAATGGAGGTTCCTAGGCCTAAAATACCAGAAACTTCTGAATCTGAGTTGATGGCAATGGGACATAGGAATCTGCATATTACATAAAACTCTGAAAATGATTATTATCTAAGCTGGTGTTTGAGAAACACTCTTCTAGGGAAGAAAATTCCTCTATACATATTTGAGCCAGAAACTATTCTTCCTCCTTCCCTCTCCTCTTCTCATTCCCCAGTGCTCCAGCTAAGTCATATTTAATGCAACATAAGTAGTTTGCTTGTGACAAAGAGTCTTTTATGAGGAACTCATAAAGCATGAGAGTTAGGATGTTCCTTTATCAGCCTCAATCTTATTAACTTCCCTTTGTTTGAGAGGATGAGCAGCTACCATTCAACATTTCCTCTGCACCAGGGCCATGGGAGGCAGCATAATGTACTGGTTGATAGCACAGGCTTTTCCCAGATTTGCTCTTTCCTTACCAGCCATCTTTCCAGCCCATCCAAGTAGGTAGACTCTTGGTATGAGTTTTGCTAGGCCTGTCTTGCTTAGCCACTGTGGCCATCTCATAGCTGAGATACTTGGGACTAAATCGTAGCTCCACAGGTGCTCCAGGGCTCTTGGAACTACTCTGGTTTAATCCTCTCAGACAAAGACTCAGCAACTTCTGGGCTCTTCCAGCTGTGGCACGAGCCAAAGTGTTCTCTTCTGCTACTGTGAACCTCATCTACTGAACATGACATGAGGGGACTGCTTTGTCTTCTCTAGCAAATATGGATGTTCTTCTAAGATAAACTCCTTAGTAGGAAGGGTAATAGTAATTTTAAAGTTCAAGCACTTTCTTGATCATGCAACCACTCCACCTGATGTGACATTTAAATATTTCTCACCAAACAACACTAGAAACTAGAAATGAGGACAAATAAAAAGCTGTGAGACAGTTGGATTTTCCCCCTCTGTGTTAAGTATTAGACTATCGGTCATTATTATAAGGGAAAAACATTGTTGTTAAATCCCTTTTTAACATCATACACTAAAATAAATTCCAGGGTGACTTAGGACTTAAATATGGCAAAAGAATAATAATAAAAGACATATAGATAAATGTTTAATCTAATTTTGAGTTGTAAATATTTTTCTGAATGTAAAAACAAAGGAAAAAACTTTTAGAAAAGACTGGCAAATGTAACTGTATACATATTAACTTAATTACTTTAAAATTACATATAAATAAAATTAAAAGGTAAATGTCTAACCAACCAAACTAAACTAAGGCATAAAACAAAATCAAGGCCATAAAAAAACAATTACAGATGGCAAATGGCCAAAGAATATAAAATACTGAGCTTCATTAGTAATGAAATAAAAGTGTATGCAGATTAGATACCATTTGCATGTATCAAAATAGCAAAAACTTTAAAAGTTAATAAAAGTTAATAAACCATACCGAGGGCTTAGGAAAATGGTACTTTCATACATATAATGCTGGTGGAAATATAAAATGCTACATTTTTTCTAGACAGTAACTTGTCAATATGTATTAAAATCATTGAAACATTCATACCCTTTGACCCAGAAATTCCAATTAGGAGTGTTTATCCTGCAGAAATTATCAGAGATGACAATCAATATTTATGGACAAGGGTGTTTAAGCATGATTATATAATTTTAATAAAATCTGCATTTATATAACAGAATACTATGAAAAGATAAAAATTTTGTTTTTAATGCTCATTCCTCTAAGACTGGGATTATATAATATGAAAAAAAGGATGTTTTATAAACTTATCATTCCTAATACTACCCACAGAAATTATCTATATACAGTATTTCCTGATGGGAATAAACAGAAGTGAGAAGGCCTTGGAGCTGAGTGGGAGGAGCACTTGGAGGAGACCATGAGTTTTTGAAGGTCAAGGAGCATTGATTTACACAAGAGAAAATGTTCTTAACATATTATAGGGAGGATTTAAAAACATCACAAAATAATGTATATGTGAAGATCCAGTTTTGTAAGATATGTGTGTACTAAATCTACATCGAGATGTTAACTGGAAGAGAGTTTATTTTATTATTATTTATAGTTTTCTACTGTAACCATGTATTCAGAAAACAATATGTGTTATTAAAAAGGAGGAGGAGAAGCAGCCTTAGTAATGGCGATCAGAAGCTTTCGGGGCCTTACTTTGCTTCCAGGGCCAGAGCGAAGATGCCAGCAGCCAGGGGTGCCGAGGCCGAGGTGCCCGTGTGGGTCCCCGTACAGTCATTGTGCAGGTCAGCACTCGTCTGTGTGGCGCCAGAAGGGGAGAGAAACGTGGGAGAACATGTGAGGAGTGTGGTCCTGTCCCTGGGGGAAACCATACCGAGGGCCGCATCTGCTATGATCAGGAAACTGAGCTGATTCGATTCCCTGCTTCCTTCTCTAAACCACAGACGGGTGTTTGCCATCTGCTGATATTTTAGTTCACTCTCCTCTCCATGCAACTTGTCTATAATTCTGGCATCAGGGTGCCTTTTGGGGGGATGAAGTACTCCCACTATGAATATTTTCTGCTCTGAGATTCCCAAACGAAATGCTGTCTGTAAAAAAGGGACTGTTTCAAAATCACTGTGAATCATGCTGGCCCATTAATCATCAGATCCATTGTGTTTGGTCTGGCATATTTAGAACTTCTGCCTCATGCAAAATTCCCTGTTGCCTTCAGATTGACATTCGACTGCCTCTTCGGTACAAGAATATAAAGCCATTCTGATTTCGGCCACTTGAACTAGTTGTTCAAAACTTGTTTAGTGTGTAGTTTGCACTCACTGTTGATGTAATTTGATGCCCATGAGTTAGTGTCCACATCGGCACATTGATGAAAATGGTGTTTTTTCCAAATGGAAAGTGTGCTAGACTTAGATCTAGTACACTGAATTCTAAAACTGCTCTTCAGTAGATGTATTCCCGGGGCAAGGCACTTGGTTTCCCCATCTGTAAAATGAGGTTGACATTTCCTGACTCAGATTCTGAGGCTGGAATGAGATCCTGCTTATGAAAGCATCTTTACACAATATTATTGAACGTAAAGAATTACCTAGGCTTATTTTAGCTTAATTAAGAAGCGGTTGCTGAGACGAAGGGAAGAAACCAAAGCGACTTCCAATCTGTCTGCCTGAAGAACCACAGTACTGCTGGTAGAGCAAGTAGTTGGGACAAAGGATTACTAACAAGACCCCACCCAGGCTCCTGCTCTCTGGCTTTTAGCTAGTGATTTCAATGTATGGGAGGGAGGTGTGAAAAACTAATTTATTCTATTATCACCTCCTTTGGCTTCCCACTTGGAGTGGCTGAATTTCTCCAGTTACTGTGGCTCTGCTCCTCAGAGGTTGCGGAAGCAAGGCTGCCCCTTTTACCCGTTGACGCAAGTGAGCCCCCGGAGATGACTGTGCTGAGGAAGAGGTTTGCGCAAGACAAAGACTATTTATTGCCACCGTCTCAAATAGAATTCACCATCTGTCTCTATGGCTGATTTACCTAAGGAGTGATCTTTACAAAGATGGAAATTCTTCCTCCTACTTCAGAGCAGAGCAGCTCAGATGTGGGACAGTCTATGAAATGGTGACTGAAATGCATAGCGGACTGTTTTCTCAAAAGCAATTCTGGACAACAGCCAAGAACTCTGACCACCGAGGAAAATATGTCCGATATGCTCCTTTCAAAGGCAATAAAATATGCCCGCCATAAAGAATCCCTTGGTAGCCCTGGCCGAAGTGGCTCAGTCGGTAGGGAGTCATCCTGTGTACTGAAAGGTTGCTAGTTCAGTTCCCTGTCAGGGCACATACCTGGGTTGTGGGCTTGATACCTGGTAGGGGGCATGCAGGAGGCAGCCAATCCATGTTTCGCTCTTATATGGATGTTTCTCTCTCTCTCTTTCTCTCTCTCTCTCTCTCTCTCTCTCTCTCTCTCTCTCTCTCTCTCTCTTCCCTGTCTAAAAAATAAATTAAAAAAAAAAGACTCCCTGGGCAGACTGTCACTATTATTTGTGTAACTGAAGATATGGGCATGAGGGAGGTCAATGCTTTTAAGTTGAGACCACAGTTTTACTGTCGAAATTAGAGTAGTTGACAGAAGCAGGCAGAGTTCCAGAATTGTGATCCAGTAGGAAAAAGACAGTAATCCTGACAATTTTGTTGAGATGCTATTAACATGAATTTTACAAACTTTTCAAAGTCTAGTCATCTAAATGACCTGCTCTCTCACTGAGATTAGAATATACGTACTTTAGCTAGTTGGCTCTTTCTGTGTCAGAAGTTAAATGTGGGACTTTAAATTTTCAAATTAAAAGTGCCTCTCTGTTCTCAAAGCTCCACATGGCCCTTGAAGGAAAATCCAATAATTGTCCTTGGCAGTCTGACTCATGGACGCGGAGACACAGCCACACGTGGGCTGGAGATGCTCTCTGAGCATATACCCTGCCCGAGCTGCTTACTCGGATGCTGAGAAGTTCACCTCAGGGGAAATGTAGCCTGTTATTTTCCTGTAGGTCGTTTGTTCTTAGGAGACATCGCTGGTGTATGCTCTGTATTTTTATCATCTGCTAAAGGGCAAGCCAGACTATATCCCTGCTATTAAAGGATCAGCAAGTACAGGGTGATAGAGCCCCTACAATCCTGAGATGCCCTTTAAGGCTGTTTTCGGGGTGGCATCACACAAGCTGACTAGACGTTTAGAGTCTTGGCTGTAGGTAATGACTGACTGGTGGCTTCTCAGGGCTGAGTTTAAAAATGACTGAGAGACAACATCTTCCGGGCAGAAGCATAATTATCCCCGAGAGAGAAAACTTCCCAATATATGCCAGCCTTTCAAGTGAGCAAAGGACGAGTCTCCCCAATTGAGCCATCACGCTTAAACAAATCAATTTTGCCAAAGGATTCTTGTGAATGCAAGTCATGCTCTTCTACCTAAGCAGAGAGAGTTAGACAAAAGCAACATACGATTCGCTGGTCAGTGTAATCCCCGCTGCTGTACGAGGTGGCCAGCGTGGAGGAGCACTTCTCCGCGTACCAGGGGGACAGGCCCTGCTGCGAGGCACTGCTGATGGAGATGGTGTAGATGCTGTCTGTGTACCCATCGCAGTCACAGTTATCTCCCTGACGCCCCCCGTTTCCAGATGCCCAGACGAAGATGGAGCCCTTTCCTTGTCTCCCCTGAAAGAAAAACCTGAATATATCACATCTATTATCATCTATTGGGGTCACTGTCACACCTCCATAACATCCCCAACAAATACATGCTGAGACAGTTATGGTGGCCTTTTTCACCTCTAGGTACTCCAGCATCAATGCTGGAAATCTTGTGACACTTCCTATTGTGAAGCCACGGGCTTCTGGCTCTGCCAGTCCTTTCTCTGGGCCCTTTCTGGGGTGGGGCAGAGCTGGGGCTTTATTTTGCAGATTCGTAATCTGGCCCTTAGCACTTGCTCATTTTTTTTCACTCTTCTCTGGCCTTATGTCACTACATTTGAATCTTTGAACGTCCTATCCTTTCTGCTTGAATCTTCTGGTTTGCTAATAGAACGAAAAAATCTGGCATTGTTCAGATCTGCTTTGCAGCTGCATTGAAAGGGACTCTTCTATTGAATGGACCTCGTCAAGGCTACTCTCTCTGTGATTTTTCAATATGTGCTCTCCAGAGTTTCTACTTTTGTTTCATCCTGTGCAGAACAAGGCCATAGAATACTGGCAAGAATGCAATAAACCCAAGGCACACATATTCACTAGGCACATGCAGAGTGGGAGGTAGCACCCTGTTATATTTATATTTAAGGATGCATTTTCAGAGCATTTGAAGGAAGTCTGGGTAATAATTTATCTAGTGTGAAAATTCAAAACAGCAGGAAAATGAGAAAGGACATAATCCAGAGTATTTTTTTAAGTATATGTTTTAAGAGTAATAAATCTCTGTTGAGTGTCAGACCCAAATGGGGGGAAATATCTCAGCCCTTCTATCCCTCTTGAAGAATGATTTGGCTCTCTGAATGCATTTCAAATCATAAGCAACTGCAAGAAATTGACAACCATTTCTTTCCATATAAGCTAAATGTTCTTCCCTTCTCAACATATCCACAGTCAGGTTTCATTCCAGGTGGGTCTGCGTTAAGCATCTCACCTGTTTCACACCATATTCAAATGCCTTCTGGGCTAGTCGACCAGGCCCCTCCACAGTTTTCCCATCGTCGTTCGGGCCCCAGCTCGCACTGTAAATGTCCACATGCCCAGGATTGAATCCAATTGAACTGGCTTCAATAGCATCGGTCACAATGCCATCCAACATTCTTATGCCTGAAGCAAAACACACAAATAATAAGTTGATGTCAGGATGTACATGTAGAATGGCATAATGCTCTTAACGTTTATTTTTTAAAAGGACTGTCAAAAGAGTCAAAAACAGGGTAACCACTGGATGTCCCAAATGCCCATGGCCTGCTGCTAACAGCACAAAGGAAAGATACAATCACTGCCTCCATAAACTTTCTTACCCGCTTTTAGAGATAACTATGTGCTATGCAGTAGCCATGGTTATCGTGGATTACAAAATGTCCCACCTCCCTCCACTACTCCAATAACCTAGAAATGACAGTATAGCTTTTAGAAAGAGGCACCAAACAGCCCTCCCTTGACATACCTGCTCATGACTATACCACGAACGGCTGTGGCCCAACCTGTGCCATAAAAATGACTCTGTACAGGAAACCTTGGAGCTTGCAAAGGTCTACCCATGATAGGAAACTAACAAATAGGAAAAGAACTCTTGTTTCTAAGCACTGATTAAAAATAACCCAGAGGCCATTCTTTTATGTGTTTGCTAAGAAACATTTTCAAGAAACATGCTTCCTTTTCTTCTAAATAATCTCAAGGATGAAATCATTGCCATGGATTTTGCTCCCGAGGGAGAATCGTTTTTCATCAGCAGAAGGCAGACTCGGTAGCTCCTTGTGCTTTCCTACAGGCTGCCACCCATCATCAGACTCATGTACTCAAGTGCTAGGAAGGCAAAAGCAATTTAGACGGATACAGGAAGCTACCTGGTTATTCCTGGCTTCAGGCTGATAATGCAACAGAATGCACAGCTTCAGATTTTCACGCTATTATTTACAATGGAGCACAGGTAAAAAAAAACTGACATGATTCATGAAAGTCATATTTATTTTCTTTAAAAATGCATTTTGGGGGAAATTCCAGCTCTTCAATTTATGAGGTGCATGATTTTGGGGGCAAGTCACTTAACTTCTCTCTACCTCAGTTTCTTCAACTATAAAATGGGGATAATAACAGCTCACATGTATTGATGATATACTATATGCTGCTACCATTCTTCAGGCTTTAAACTTATAAACTCATCTATCCTTATGACAACCATTTGAGGGGGGTCCTATAATTCTCCCCATTTTAGAGGTGGAGAGACTGAGGTCAGAGATGGACAGTGACTTGCTCAAGGCCACACAGATTGAAATTGGGAAGCCAGGACTTGAGTACCCAAATATGTCCTGTTAAATTCCAGGACACACTGCCTATAGTGTGTTGTTGGATAAGTGATGGCCATACGGTAGATGCTTAAAATGAAAATTATTATATAAAAATGCACTTGGGGCTAGACTGTCAAAGGGTAGAGTAATGGAAGAAAATCAGTAGACTTGGAATGAGAAGTCTTGTGTTTTAGCTCTATGCTGCCGGAAACTGTTACCTTGAGAATCTTGCTCCTTAATAAAATAAAGAGATCAGATGATTCTCTCATAAACTATAGGTACTTAGTTTATTATCATTTAAAAAGTGAATTCTTTTTCTAGGTGATTACATAATCTGTACTTCTTCATTTTCATTAAATTAACATGGCACTTTGATGGTGTTAGTGTCAAAGTAATTAGGAATGACAAAATCTAAGAGTGTGCTGTATTAGGGAGAGAGACCTTATATATGCCAAGATGGATATTTATTTTATTTATAAAAAGGAATACAGTCTCTGTGAGCTCTTTCGGATCCAGTCTCCACCACCCTTATCCACAGGAACTGCATCAATGGGTTCTCTTGTCTTCCCACTGGGTTCCACCAACTGAGGACAGCAGCAGGAGGTTGGGGGATGAGGTTAAAGTGCGGTACTCACTCCCCTGATTCCTTCTTGCCTGGAAATAGCTTGGTGGTTGTACTCAAGGCTGTAGCTCCTGTCCAGTGATTCTCTCCTATGGCCACAGCTTTCTGTCTCCAGTTTCCACTGACTCCTTCCACTTGTTCCTTTGGGCCTAAAGGTGGTAACATCTGCCTACATCTGTTAGCCCTTGTTGGTTTCCTTTGAACTCTTGTAAACAGTTCCTTTATTTAATTGCCCTGATGGAACTTACCATATGTTCCCCCACAAAAACACTGACTGAAACAACTAGAGATTCTAAATTCTTGCTATTGAAGATAACCTTTGGCTTCTTAATATAACAAGAATGTATTCTTTTTATTTTTAAAAGCTGTTCTTTGCCATGAAATGAAGAACTGCGGAATTCAGAGGCAGGGAAATTCTTTGCCTAAATTTCTTCCTCCTCTTGTTCCCCGAATAAGCACACAACACGAAAACCTTCTAAATCAGAACACAGAGAAAATTAGGTTTGTTTTTAAAGCTATTCAACATCTCAAACCCCCTTCCCATATGTATTGGCTTATATTCAGCTACCATTTTCTAGGAATCCAGATATTTTGATTCATTTGCAAATCACACCCAAGTTCTAAAGCACATTTTGTATGGAGTCCATTTCTTCCTCTGGTTGTTGAAAGCCGCCCCCCCTCTCCCCACCTCATTTACACCAGGTAATGCAAGACTCAAGTTAAAAGTGCAAAACTAGCCTGGCCAGTGTGGTTCAGTGGTTAAGCATTGACCTATGAACCAGGAGGTCACAGTTCAATTCCCGGTCACAGCATATGCCTGGATTGCAGTAGGGTGCATGCAGGAGGCAAAATCAATGATTCTCTCTCATCATTGATGTTTCTCTCATGCCCTCTCACTTCCTCTCTGAAATCAATAAAAAAATATTTTTTTTAAAGTGTAAAACTACAGGAACAGCCCTCTGCTTTACCTCCAACTTTGGCATCATATGCAACTCCGACCCCACACTTGTAATTATTTGCTTGCATGGCAATTTCTCCTGCGCATCTGGTCCCGTGTCTGAAGATTAAAAAATAGGAATTATAAAACATAAATGAGGACAAACATTTGTTCTGTATATGAATCCATGGCACATGGATATGTTAACTTTTTGTCTGCCTTTTCTCTGGTTTCTTCCCATCAGCATTAGATGAAATATAGGTATCATGTGAAGGGAATAGGCACAGGAGCCAGAGTATATGAGTATATGAGTTCACATTTTAGCTTCCACCACTAACTAGTGGTGTGACCATGCGTAAGTGTCCTCAAAGGGTTGTGAGGTCACATGAGATACTGTGTATAGAGTGCTTAGAATAGTTGTTGGTACATAGTGGTTGGACTTTTTTAGATTAGGTTACCCTGGACCAGCTCCTGTAGGATATGATAGAACAGAGTCTTCTCCCACGATATCCTCCTCCTCTAACCACACACCAAACTAAAACATTTGAGGGTTTCCTGGTACTAAGAGAAGTCTGAGATTTTAAGAAGACACTACAGGCTAATTGGGAAACCAGGAGACTTCTGCAACTCTGATTGGGACCAGAGGCCTGAACAAGATGGGGTTTGCAATCAGGCAAAAAGGGTAATTGATGATTTCTGAGTATTTGGAGGGGGGAAAATCCATCTCTAATTCAGACCAAAGCCCGTCCTCATTGGTATGGCTCAGTTGGTTGGGCGTCATCCTGTGCACAAAAGGGTTTCTGGTTCGATTCCAGGTCAGGGCACATGCCCAGGTTGTGGGCTTGATCCCCCCCACTAGGGGGCATGCAGGAGGAAGCCAAGCAATATCTGCTCTCACATCTATGTTTCTCTCTCTCTCCTTCCCTTCCTCTCTCTCTAAACATCTATTTAAAATAAAAATGAAAAATAAAACAGAACAAAGCCCACCATTAAAGCATCAATTCTGAAATTTTGGGGATAATAATTGCCTTTTCCCACCCTGACCTCAGAAGGGCCTATAAATTAAGAGAACTTTAATGTAAATTTGTTGATTTTATGATTATATTCTATTATGCAAGCACCTGGGAGCATTGTGAAGGCTGTTGGTGCCTTGGAGGAGCTGTTGACCAGATATGCTGACATCGAGGAAAAGAGAAGAAGGGTGAGCTAGTGCTGAGCAACTCTGTCAGCCAGCTACTTTTATAAGCTATGACACTAGACGTCTATTAATTTTGCCTGGTAAGAAATATATAAATCCAAAATTAACTGGGTAATCCAAAATAATTGTTTCACGTATCTCTTTTTCCTAAAGTACCAGAGATGATTTCCCACTAAATGATAGTCCTGCTTCTTCTGAATATTGGCTAAGAATCCTGCGTCAGAACAATGTAATTATCTTTAATTCAGGGTCTTCCCTAGTGCAGCAGACATCTGCTTCTTTTTTGCCTCCTAGAATTTTCCCCTTTTGGGAAGTGGCCCTCCCTCACTCCTTGTGATTCTTTTTCTCTCATGAGGCTCCTTCTCCCAGACAAGCTTTCAAGGATTAATGCAGAATATAAAGAGATTTCTATTCTTTCTCCAGAATCTTCAGCTTTAGGTTCCATCTGAGCCACGTGGATCTTGTTGCTAGGCAAGATTCTGTTGAGAATGAAGCTGTTAGGTGAGCAGCATTGGAGATGGAGACAGAGTATTTGGTGTCTTGATGGCACATTACTTGAGCTCCTGGATCTTGCAATGCTTGAAACTAGAGCATCCCTTGGGTGAAATTATTTTTAATACGGATATTACTTAATCTTTGAGTTAGGATTCTCTCACTTGCAACTGAAACTACTCTGACAACTATACCCATTTTCTAAGAAATGTGTTCACATTGTTTGATGGATTAGACCTCTTTGCCTTTCTACAAGGAAAAATTCAATTGCCATCCTCCAGGAAATCTATTCCCAACAGTCACCACTGCCTATATTTAAATAGTATGGGAGACAGGGCCCAGGATAGCAAAATCTCGAGGGCCACAATGGGTTCTGAGCCAACAGAATCAACTTTTTGACTCGAGGGCCACAATGGGTTCTGAGCCAACAGAATCAACCTGTTTGAAAACATCCCTAGCAGTGTACACCTGTCCTATAAATGATGCAATGTGACATGACCTATTATTTAACTCTCCTTACACATTGAGGACTATTTTCTCGAAAGGTGTAGTAGGATCATACTACAAATAGGGGTTAGTATTTTTTCCTCCACTTATCCTCAGTTTCCACTTCCATACTTTGAAAAAAAAGGAAGACTTTATCAAAGTGGTTCTACATCATTCTTTATAGACGTGTAGCCTTTTCTCTTTCCTTAAATCAGGTTTGAGGTAAAATAACCCTCTATTATCTTAGAACAATGGTAGCAACTGACATTTAAACAAATTGACTTTTAGAAAAGTATTCCACAAGATAGTTTAAAGACTATTATTATACTGGTTAACATTTCCTTGTCACACATGTTATTTAACTAGAATCTGTAATTGGTATTGAAATATGAATACAGATTCATGCCAGCTTAATAGTAAGAGTTACCTGCACCTTTAAGATTTTATTATTTAGTGATTCCTCATTTGATTTGCAGAGGAGAATTCAAATGCAGCTTCTATTAATCTCATTTATATATTACTTCAGCTCCTGAATCTTGCACTGCTTAAAGCTAGAGCATCCCTGGGGTTAAATTGTTTTTTAATCCCCATATTACTTAATCTTTGAGTTACAGCAGCAACACAGATAGTTTGGAGCCATAATGCCCTGGAATTGGGTGATAATAGGTCTCAAACTGTTATAAGGCCAAGATAACATGGGGCCATTCATTTTCCAGACCTGAGGGATTTATTTCTGACAACATGCTTGAAGAAATTTTTTATAATATCCTTTGATAAATGATGAGGATGCTACATTTCTGGTTGATAGTCAAGAGGATCCTGAGAGATAGTTGCTTATAATTTTCAGATAGTAGATTCTGAACTGGCTCAGAAAATTTGACTTGTCTCTGCTATCTCCTATCACATTCTCCTATCACATGAGAAGTCATGCTGATTTCTCACTGAAAAGAGGTGTATCTTAGTTGTTAAATGAGAAGCTTTAATCATCGTCAGAGCAAATACAACTTTTTTTGTTGTTGCAGGCACTATGCAAGCCAATTACATATATAAATTCAGTTAATCTCTATCATAACCCAATAAAATAGTTACTACTACTATTATCCCTTTTTAATAGGTGATAAAATTGAGGCAAAAGAAATTAAATAATTTACTTAGTCACTTAACTATTAAGTGGCAGATCTAATACTTGATCTCAATCTAGCTGCAAAGTCTGTAGGTAACTGTTTGGCTACTCTACTCTCTCTCTGTACTATGTGGGAGATCCAGGCTCTGCTCTGAAACTCAGAGTTTTCAGGTACAAAATAAGTACATTTATATGGGCTACTTCCTTATGGGCCTTTGGAGCTCTGTGACTTGGAAGAATCTATAATAATAAAAGCGTAATATGCAAATCAATCGAACAACCAAACAGCAGAACGACCGTCCAGATGACCATCCAGATGACCTTCCGGACAACCATGTTATGACACGCCCTGGTGCCAGGCCAGCCAAGGCGGGTGTGATGCAAGTTGTTGGGGGGCCCCCGCCATTGCCCCATGATCACCACACAGAGGGAGGCCCAGGCCACCGGCCAGTGATGCTGTGGCAGTGTGCGGGCCGGCCAGCAATCACCCTGCAGAGGGAGGCCCAGGCCAGCCAAGCAATCGCACCCCACACCTGTCGCCTGTAGAGGTAGGCAACCCTTGGCAGGAGAGAGGGGGGGCAGTGCCACACAGATGGCAAGCAGTGGCAGCAGCTGGGGTGGAGCCAGCTGCTGGCAGCCGGGGGAAGGAAAGCCCCAATAGGCCCTGATTGTCGGTCAGGCCTAGGGACCCTACCTGAGGAGTCCTGGATTGCGAAAGGGTGCAGGCTGGACTGAGGGACACCTCCCCACCCCATGCATGAATTTCATGCACCCGGCCCCTAGTTATATTATAAATACTGTGTTTATTATAAATATTGTGATGTGAGATTTCCTCTTTTGGGAGAAGGATAGAGGGAAATCTGTATCCCTCTTCTCGTGAGTAGAAAAATTCTAGAGAATATCATTTCATTAAGTATTCACCTATCATGCAGCCATCACCAATGTTGGATCCTGGGGCCAGACCCAGAGTACACTGCCTGGGGAGGAGGCAACACCTCCAGCTAACAGCCTCCTCTACTGCACCCATGTGTCTGCTGGCATATTTCCTCTTACTCTTGACCAAGTGGGTGAGGTGAGAGTTGTCATTTTCACTAAATTCCAAGAAGGGCACTCCTTTCTTTCAAGCGCTTATTGGCATTTCTTTAGGAAGTTCCTTTCAAGGGGCAAGGAAGAGATGCTTTGTCACCCACTTTAGGAGAAAAAAGAAAAAATAGAGCCAGAGAGGTGATGTCCTCAGGTCACTCTCAATACTGGTAATGAGCAAAGTTATGACAACCAGCCAGGCTAACATCACACAGCAATGTCCCAAAAGAGCAGATGTTCTTCCTGGTCCTGCACTGCCCTGACTCAGAAAATGGCTGAAAATTTACATGGGGACCCTGCTGTGAGTTCCAGAAACATCTCACTTTCCACAAGGACACTCCCTCACAGTTCTTGTTGTATTGTTAATAGATGTTCTAACCTCTCATGGGTGTTTGTAGTTAACCCCCTTAAGAAATAAACCCTAGAAGAAGTAAGTGGTACTGAAAGAAGCAGTATCTTAGAACCCTCTCCAATCCTCCTCTTCTCCCATAGCAGGAAATAGACACCCAGAAGTTGAAGCCAAGTCCATGAGCTCCAGCCTCCCTTCCTGGGTTTTGTCAGCCTCTGGAGGGGAAACCATTCAAAGAAACAACTTTAGGTCAAAATTATTCCATCAGCCACATTGGAATTCTGAGAGAGAATAAGGGAGAAAGAGAGAAAAAGAGATAAGGAAAGTGAAAGTGAGAGAGAGGAGAGAGAGCTTGATTGACCTGAGTTGGATAGTAGTCCAAGAGAGAGAAAACCACGTGAAGAAAAGAGGGAAGCACTTTATGGGGCATCCACAACGCTTTTTGTGGCTTGCTCTTTCCATTCCCACTTGTAATAGCAAGCCCTAATTTTGCCTTGGCTTGATCTGTTTTGATGTAAGTCTCTTCTAGGTGGAGCAAATAAAGAGAAAATTGTGCAGGTCTCCTTAAAGTCTATGAGATATATCATTATGCACAAAGATGAGTTCACACATGGACATTGACACTTGAGGCCACGTGCCTAGAGGGTGAAGTTTCTTTGGGGTTAGGAAAGAAGGTTAAACTGTCTTTGATCTTTACTTGGCTTCCTGCTTTGGCTGATCTGGCTCTTGACCTCCCTCATCACCCTGTAGCTGCTATGGAGAGTCAATATAGGAGTCAGAAGATATCCTCTTTTTCCCCTTAACTTTAAAATATCCAGCAGGAGCTCTGGAACAGGGTGCTAACTAATCCAATGACCCAGAGACTGTGCTGAATTTGATGACCATGCCTCAAGGTACTTTTCTCTTGTATGATGTCTGGCCCTGCTCTTATGAAGGAACTGGTCAGCATGGTTGTGGCCACCATAGGAAGCTTTGGGGATTTATTATTTGGGCATCTGTATTTCTTTTCATGACTAACATCAAGCATGTTTCTAATATGGGAAGATTAATAGAGGAATAGGGAACAGGGGTGAGCTAAACATTTTTACTCTTTATGCCCCAAGCATTCTTTTTAAAGGTATAACTATTCAGTAACATTTGAGGGGAGTATCCTATATAATAAAAGGGTAATATGCAAAGTGACCCTAACGGCAGAATGACAGGGAACGACCGGTTACTATGATGCACACTGACCACCAGGGGGCAGATGTTCAATGCAGGAGCTGCCCCCTCGTAGTCAGTGCGCTTCCACAAGGGGAGCCCCATTCAGCCACAAGCTGGGCTGATGGCTGCAAGCACAGTGGCAGTGGCAGGAGCCTCTCCCGCCTCCTCGGCAGCGCTAAGGATGTCCAACTGCGGCTTAGGCTCGATCCCCTGGGGAGCGGACCTAAGCCAGCAGGTGGACATCCCTCAAGGGGTCCCGGACTGTGAGAGGGCACAGGCTGGGCTGAGCACTGCTCCCCCCTACAGAAGAGTGCATGAAAATTAGAGTGCACCGGGCCTCTAGTTTTATAATATAAGAAGAAATTTTAATTGAAATATGGTTCTATAAGCCAAAAGAGAAGTTTGGGTTTCTGTTTTAAAAGCAGTACAATATTGTGGTATGGATAGTGTGCATGAACAGTTCTGAGAGCTCAAATAAAAGCACTTTAAAGTACTACACCCCTGGTCCCCACCCCCCTGGCAAATCCACATTTACTCACTTGTTCTCATTTGTGGGATCATATCGGGGAAATGGATCATGGTCATTATCATTAAAATCATAGCTAGCCTCTGGATCCTGAAAAGACAACAAAAATAACACTGTAGCATCATGAAAAATGACACAGAACTTTCCAAGCCTTCTACCCCTATCCCCTTTCCAGACTGGCTGACAGCTTGAAAGTCTGCATTTCAGAGTTTCTGGCCCAGTGGTTGGTCATTTGTTATACCCATAAACCAGGAAGAGACAGAGAATCAAGCCAGCATCCAATTCTCAGTGAATGTTACCAAACTGATAGCTCATGGACACTCATAGGATGCTAAAACCGGAGGAATCAGTTCAGTTAATTCAATCACCTTATTTTCCACATGAGAAAGTTGAGGTCCAGAGAAGTTGAATGGCATAACTAAGCTATAGAGCAAGTTAGCAACACTGTGACACTCATCTCTCTTACGAATATAGGTGAAAAGAGGTGGATCAGGGTCACAGCGATCTCTTTCCGCTTCCCCAGGTATACCAAGTAAACGTGTAATTTAACTAAAGAGGGTGGGCTGGAAATTCAAGACAAGCTTCCAGGTCCACCCCCTTTTCAACCAGATTGCTACACTTAAACTCCCACTAGGAATTCTATCACACTACTGCCACTTCTCTATATTTTCATAACCTTTCATAAATCCTACTTTCTGCTAATCTTTATCTCTTCCTTCCCCTCTCCTCCCCTTTGCTCTTTGGCTGTGGAATGTAGCTGAGTGGAAAGGATAAGAGAAAGACAAGGGACAATGTTAAAGATGAAGCACTAATCTAAATAAAGGCCTAAGCTATTATGGAAAGCTTCATAAACAAGTAAATACTTTTCATTTAATTATTTCCCACTTCTAATAAGCTTTTTTTTCTCAGCTTGTCCTTTTTGCACTGTGTGATGCACACTTTGAATTTGCATGAAAGGCATCCTATTCACATAGCTTCACAGTGTGAGAGATGCTGACTCATGAGGGAGGTGAAGAGGAAGACTGTGAACATGATCTTGGGCATCAGGCTTGATTTGATTACTTTAATGTCACCCGTACTGAATGGCATGGAGTCTGAATGACTTTTCATAATTTACTTGGTGTAGGTGCCTTTTCCCACCCCCAGTACATATGACTTTGTACAGTCCTTAAATTCTTTTGATGTCCCCTGATACAGTAAATTCATATGGGCTGCCAGGGAGGTGAAGGAAATGGCAAAACCTTGGCCCATCATTCCCTGGGCCAACATCTGAGCAGCTTCCTGCTTGAGGGAAGGAAAGTCCTAACTGTCTTTGTAGACAGCTCCCAGACTCACATAATTGGCATAGATATCTGTGTGATTCCACTCCAAGCCATCATCCAGTACAGTGATAACAACTCCTTTGCCAGTGATGCCTTTTTGCCAAACAGGTATCACATGGAGATCCAGCTTGGGCAGGGATGCAGTCATCCTAGTATCTTGCTGGTAAAGAAACACAAAGAAGCATTGGTAAAGGCATCATTTGCTTGCTACAAAATGAGAAGTGAAGCCACAGTCCAGAGACCCATCTTTGTTTTTCCTGAGGTCACTCTCCTCTTTAGAAGAAGGCAATTAGGTGAAATAAAAAACAAAGTTGAGGGTAGGGCCCGGTGAATCATCAGAGTGCTGCTCTTCCCAGTAGTTTCAATGGAAAATCACTCCAAAGAATGAATCACCCTGTGCCCTTCTCTTTGAGCTACATGGCTTTGGAGAAGACCTTTGTCCCTAACTTTCATTTATAATGACGTGTTCCAGCCTTTCCTCTACCTAAGCTTTATCTGATAGCCCATGTTTCCATCTCCCCCAAATCCTAAGCTTCTATTGCCACAACAAACCTACTTTATATTGTCTTGTTCACAGTCATTTGTGAATGGTCTTTATAACTTTTTTGAAAGGAAAAAACAGAACTGAGAATAACCAGGATGCTGTGGTCTCACCAGGACTTGCAATTTAATTGTCTACTTGCAAATATTAGTGATTTAGGGAGTAAGTATCCGTGGGAGGGAATTTGGGGTTTTCTTTTGCAAATAGCATTTCAGAAATGTGTGGGACTATAGGAGAGAAGAGCTGAACAGCAAGGGAACACAGTCCTGAGCACATCCCCGTGCATTTGAGAGAAGTACATTAGAAGTGTGCCAGGTTTATGGTAAAGGGGTCAATAAGACATTTATAAATAACAATCAAAAGTGTCAATGAACGGACTGCTGATACGCCTCAGAAAGAGGTTGGGGAAGACCTTACTAACCAACATGAAGCTGAGTTACAGGAGGCTGGAACTACAGGCATATGGTTGGCTAAAGCCGGGGAAGAAGGCCTCTAAGTCAGTCACAAGAACAACCATAGAATGTGGTTGTTAAGAGTAGGGCCTCTGGAGCTCTGAATTATGAGCCACTAGTAACCAGGTGACTTTGGCAAGTTATTCAACTTGCCAGTGTCTCTGCTTCTTCATCTGTTAAATGGGCAGAATTGCTATATCTACAACATAATGATATTGTAAGAATTAAGTGAGTTCATTCACGTCAAATAGTATAGAATAGTATTTGGCACATAGTAAATGCACAGATGTTAGCTAATGAGACTCTTTTTCAACGAGCAAGTGATGCTTAGGTTAAGAGAGAGTCAAAAGGAATTGATCCCCTTTGTGATCCATTATGCAACAAGGATGTCTAAGCCTTAGCTTATGACCATCATAAAAATTTATCTTTTATAATATTCTTAGCATATATTACTACTCTGGAGACTTTATACTAAAACAGAAGGGAGAACACTTTGTAGGCTAGCAACGCCCACATACCAATAAGGATTTGGTAACTATCTTAAAGGTAGAATGGTTTGCAAAACTGGACATCTGCAAATAGATATCTTTTATCTTTCCTTGTATTCCTTGCCTTGTTCAGAAATTCTTACCTGTAAGCACATAAGAATTGTCACTCAGAGGTTTATATACAGAATCATGTTTACTGTATTCTTTGAGTGATGGTTCTCAAGAGTAACTTTAATGAAATGTGTTGTTGTTGTTTTTGCATTAATACTGTTTTGGAACCCCTAACTTGCAAGACATGGTTCTTCTGCATTACTCCAGGTAAGCTTAAGAAGACATGAAGGTAACCCCCACAACCATAGCAGCTGAAGATCTGTGTTTCAGACACTCTCACCTAGTAAAACAGAAGATCCAGATCATGGAAGGTCCCATTAGCCCTGATCTCCAAGTAACCTAGCCCTTGCTGAATTCTCCATCATTAAAACAAATCTATTGTGCAGATGTAACAAAATAAAAAACAAGGGTCCCACACAGTCCTGCAGGTACTTACCAAGTACCACTGCTGATTCCACATCGGATCATTGAAGAGATTTACTGCTGAGCCTCTTAGAACTGAACGTTTACTTCTCTCCTTTCCATACTGTTGTTCAGCCCATATAACCTACAAGGAGTTTTATAGCAAAAAAAATCAACAGTCAAATAGCAACCTCTGTGTAATCATCTTTCCTCTAACTAGGCCTAATACCCTTCCCATCAGAGTTTAGGCAGCTCCACAATGTTTATGTTTAACTGCAGATCAAACTGGCAGCTCAGTGAGAAGGATTTGCCCACTGGGGAGATGAACATTTCCTCTATTACAGTAAAGTGAACCTTTAGGGGGAGGAGAAGGCGTCAGTAAAGTGATGATTGCCTCAAATTATTTACACTGTGATTACAGTGGAAGTAAAAGTGCAGCCTGCTTTCATCAGCAAATGGACCATAATACCCATTTTTATATTGAGGTTCCAGGACTCTGTAGGTGAAAATTTGTTCATGGAATGAGTCAACAGGCTAAGAGATCCCAGAGACTGTTTTTATGATGCTCTTGCAGCTTAATTTCTCTTCCATTACACACAAAAGGTAGAAATAGCAATGTTACACAAGCCATGTCTTTGCAAATCTGGCTCCCCTGTGCTTCAACCTCCTACTTAAGAGTATTTAATATAAGAAACAGATCCAGGGTGATGAATGAGCACTATTGACCATGCACACTTACCATTAATTTAGTCTCATGTATTATGCAAAGAGATCTGACAGTACAAAAATCACCTGCCCCACATTTATGGCATAATCCTATTACACTTGAGGTCCTGAGAGGGAGAGGGGCTGCCTTGTGGAGATATTCATTAGGAGATAATATCCTGCTCTTATTTTGCTGAGCAACAAGACTGTTTCCTACCCAAAGCATAGCCTCTCTGTTGTAAACATGATGACAGTCCAGGGTGTGTTGGGATATTGTTAATGTGAGGATACTTATGAGTCATCTAAAACTAAAAACTAAAATATAATTTGCAACTGAAGGATAAAACTATCCACTAAGACTGAATTTGCAATTAGAAAATATACTGCAAGCCAATTATAAATATTGGAGGGACTTGAGAGCTAGAAATTAGTCACTATAATTTATTTTTTTTAAAGTGCCTGTATTTTCAAGCTTAATTGTTTGGCTTAAAATACCCAATGCTTGGAATATTCTGCCTGCCTCTGAGTCAGTCTTTGAAAGCTGGCTGCTAGGGAATAAGAACTAATTTTTGAGGAAGAGGGTAACTTATAGTTTGAGATTTCATCAACAGTCATAAAGATAGAGGGTTGCTGCATTTCAGAGGGCTAATTTGAAAGGATATCATTCCCCCATCAAAAAAAGGCAATAAAATGACAAAAGCAATTTTTTTAAATGGAATATAAAAAGAGGCACTCTGACATTCAATTGTTGGAAACTGTTGTGATCAGTGTCACTGACTGCAGATCCCTTATTAATCTCTGAAGGAGCAAACCAAGTAGAACAGAATAAAATGGTGGTCTTACTATTATGTGTATAATAGGTATTATGCACTTAGTTTTGTAAATAATCCTTTTGATAGGGAAAGAGCATTAAAGATCACTTAGTCCACCCATCCACTCAAGTTTCTATGGGTTCTAGGATTTTTCCTACAATTAAATTATTCTGGAGATAATTTTATAGGATCATACAGACTTCTTTCTTACGAAGTGATGTTAGAGAGTACATTCTTAGCTCTTCTTCATTGCTCCTTGAGATTTCTCCCCCAAATCAACTATTAAGGAAATATCTAAAGAATGCACCTGTTCATTTTAGTGAGATTATTTTAAATAATAACAACAGCTAGGGATGCTCCACTATGTCCAGTTTTCTCCTATGAAGATGAGAAGGGAGGTCAGTTTGATTTCCTTGTACATTGCTGCCAGGCATGCCTTTAATAAACAAGGAAGTCTCTCTCTTGTTTTGCCCAAGGACTAAGCTTAGCCAGAGTCCTGAAAGTTGTCCTTCTTCCCAGAGCTCACAGATAATAAGCTGTCTGTTTGGGGATGGTGAAGGAAAGTCTATACTAGACAAGAAACTTTTAAAGTAGTGTTCCGGGCTCTGATTTGATCTCCCACTTCTAGCCATTAATGCCAGTAAAAGCCAGCAATGGGTGTGTCTGAGCTGTGTTTCACTGTCTGTGGTCCTGAGATAGCACTCTTTGTCAGGGTATGGTTGCATTTTACATTGGAACAGTAGTAACTCAGATCACTAATAATCTGTCTTATTATTTTCTTAAAAATTTTTAAACCTCACCCAAGGATATGCTGCTATTGATTTTTTTTTAAAGAGAGAAGAAGGGGTGGAAGAGAGAGAGAGAGAGAGAGAGAGAGAGAGAGAGAGAGAGAGAGACCCTCCTCCCTCCTGTACATGCTCTGACTGGAGATTGAACAGAAATCTAGGCATGTGCCTTGATGGAGAATTGAACCCACAACCCTTTGGCACATGGGATGACCCTCCAACCAACTGAACTATCTGGCCAAGGCTGTCTTATTCTCTTTTTAAAATTCTATTAGTTGCAGAACAAATGAAAAAGTAAATTATTTCACAGGGTTTATGAATTCCATTTACTTTCAACAGTTCTATCACCTTTCTTTCACTTATACATTTCTTTCTAGGAAGTTGAAAGTTTGTGTTCTGTCTCTCACAAAACTTCTGTAAGTCTCTAGATTGTCCTAGGCAACAGAAATCATGTGTACAGATATTAGCCTAGCCAGGATAAATTTCCATCAGTATGCAAATTTTCAAGAAAAGGCAACATTGTGTATGCAAACTGCCAATACTCCCAATATAGTCACCATTTCTATTAATAATGTTTGCTGACCTTAAAACAGGCTTCAAAAATCAATAGTTATATTATACATACATTCAAATTATCCCCATGTTATTTACCTATATTCATTCTAGACATTTCCTGCTGTTGCCTAATCATTGAATATGTATTCAAACGAGGCTAAAAAGAGATAACATGTTTTGGATCAAACAATATAATACTTAGGAAAACATTTACTTATGAGACATGGATTTAAAGCTTCCTCATAAATACTAGTTTCCTGTACAACCAAACTAAATAGAAATGGCAGAATGTCATTTTCAATTACAGTGAAATGTTATTAAAAGCAAGGTTCATATATTTCTTTGGCATCCCCACATGAGATATTGAAGTGCTTGGTACATAATAGGCATAACATAAAAGGTTGTTGATTGATTGTATTGTCAAACATTTTAATTAGTGCTGCCACTTTATTTTCAATATTTACTTTCATGCCTTTAGACTGGATTTGTGAGTGTGTGTGTGTGTGTGTGTGTGTGTGTGTAATTTAGATAATTCAACCAATTCAATTCAATCCAGTTATTATGTATAATTTCCACAACCCTGTGGAAATAACAAGAAACACTACAGATGAATAATTGCAATCATAATAAAGAAGAATCACATTTGCAAAGTGCTTTTGCTCTTGTGGGCAATCATATAGAGAGCAGATAAGTCAGGTTGGTTTGAAGACAAATGCACAACACTTACACGATCATCATCAGATAATCTCTTAGTGATATGAAGGGCACTCCTTCGAGACCTCCGGGGATGGTTTTTATATCTGAGTAAGTAATGATTTTCGAGTGATCCAATCTATAAAATAAAAGAAATTAAAAATAAAATCCACTTTCCAAAATAAATATATGGAGTCGATTGAAACCAAGCTAAATTAGAGACAGCTTTTATTAAGCCCATTCCTTGTACATGAAGTTAACTTGTTTTGTCATGAAGAAGATACTGATAGAAGCCATCCCTCTCTGGTTAGTGTGTTGAGTGAGATGAACCTCATGAAGTTATCACTTGGGCTCCCACTATACTTGGGGGCTGACGGTGCTTCTGTTTCACACATTTCAAAGGAACTCCATTTGTTTTTCTATGAGACAATATTGTGTATTTGGGCAGACATTTCTTTTTTAAAAACCCATTTTATCAAATTCATTCTTTCAGAGAACAATAATCTGTAGAAAGCAAGCAAAACCTTTGTATACTATATATGGTCAGTGCCACATTCACTTGCAACAATTTGTTGTTGTTATCAAATATAACCATTGACTCCATAGTGATAATTGTTACAAGCTACTAGTAGTGACCATTAGACTTTCCACTAGTTTACAGCTTTGAGGGGAAAGCCAACATACCACATTTAGGGCAGGTGTAAACTCCCCTGGGTGACATCAACACCTTTGGTCCATTTAGAACTATGTTCATTATTCTTTTAAGCTATGTCCCTTTATTCAAAAGAGTAGTTAATTTGAAGCTACCAAATTCTCTAGATACCCTGTATTTCTTTTTAAATTAAGAGACAAATAATTGACAATGGGTTATTTCAGAAGAATTGTATTCTTTAATTTGGTGGTTCTCATCACCTAGATGATTTTTTTAAATCCTCACCCAAAGATATGCTTATTGATTTTAGAGAGGTGGAAGGGAGCGAGGGAGAGAGAAAGAGAGAGAGAGAGAGAGAGAGAGAGAGAGAGAGAGAGAGAGAGAAGAGAGAAGAGAGAACGAACACATCAATTGGTTGCTCTGATTGGGGGTGGAACCTGAAACCCAGGTATGTGTCCTGACCAGGAATCAAACCCATAAGCTTTTGTTATATGGGAGGATGCTCCAACCAGCTGAGCCATACCAGCCAGGGTATCACCTAGAGAATTATTAAATAGAGATCCTTAGGCCCTGCTCAAATCCTAAACTTCAGGGAGTAAATCTGTTATAAGTTCTAGACTGAGTTGGGGAGGAAAAACAGTAGCTATAGGAAAGATCGCCAATGCTTAGCTCTATATCTGCTATTAAACTGGTTTTGCTCACCCCCCAATCCTGAGGCCTTAAGGAGCTCAGCTAACTTAGTATAAACAGAAGGAGAAATAAGCAGAACCAGGAAAGCATTATTAGTTTTTCACAAAGAACTGTTATTTTTTAAACATTTGTTAATAATGTCACTTTGACTGGAAATGGCTACAGAAAATATAGCATATGCAAATCATGTGTAAATATAGTTTTTCCTACTATTTTTTAAAGCTTGTGACTATGCTATCCCTTCCTTGAGGATCCTACCAAGAATTCTGATTTATTGTTTTTTAGTTTTGGTATTTATGAATTTGAAAGGCAATTCCGATAACGAATGGTCCAGGTTTGGATGTATGCCTGGGGCTAATAGGTGAGAAAAGGAAGAGGGGTTATCTCTCGCTCTCTCCCACAATCTCCTTCCACAGTTACCAGTGTTATTTAGCTGTCGAACGGTTATAGGATTAAGCCCCTAGTCTGCCCCCCATCCTCATAGGACACACAGGATCTCCCTGATGCCCCCATACACACCAGTATGATTCCACTCACTACACACTCACTCTCTCAAATACAATTCCTTGCAGTTTCCAAATTACTACTAAGCAGCTTTCTTTGTATCTCCCTGTTTCCCACCAGCGATTTTCGATGTCTGGAGTGCCTCTCCAATCTCATCATGTTTTCCTATCAAACTTTAGCTTCTTCCTAAACACAGTGCACGTGTTTCCTCCTCTGTGCTATCCTCTTTCACCCCTCCCCAATTCCCTTCCAACTTCAATCCACAAATATGGAGACTCTGGGTACAGCTATTACTACACCAATTACATGTCACTACAACATTTGTTTCTAAACCAGTCTCTTCTAGATGCTTGACTTTTTGCAAGTCTTTTCCTCCTAGTCCTCAGCCCCTAACACGGAGCCTGGCACAGAATAAGGTGTGAACAAAAGCAAAAGTCTTGGTCTGCTGCTGGGACACGGAGAAGGTGATCTGTGTACTGACGTTTCTACTGGGCATTTCAAAGACAGCTTGGCTCATAAAGTTGGAGAATAAAGCTTCTGGCAAAGGGAAGGCGTATTCCCCAGTGGATTCGCTCTATGGCGTAGCCTATGCCCACGCAGATTACTCATCTGTGACTTCAGCCACAGCTCTACCACCACCTCCAGAAAAAACCGCGCCAAAATGTTTACAACTCCCTCCTCCGCTCAACTCCCAAGGCAAGAGGTGCAGGCTTGATTCTAAGCCAAGGGACACTTAGATTAGAACTCACATCCCCTGGTTTTCTCCCCTGAATTACGCAGCTAAGCAGCCCATCCCGTCCCCCTGCCCCTGCCCCCCCCCCCCCACGCCTACCCCGCCCGCAGCTGTCTATTAACCCAGTCCTCACTTGGAGGCAAGTTTCCCTCACAAGCTGAAAACCCCAGGGAAGCTATTATGCATTTGGCTGTGGGACAAGAAATAAATCCTTTCCCCACAGTCAGTTTTGAAGTTTGACCCCCTTTGGGTGGGGGTGGGAGTGTTGACCAAGCAAAGTTGTGAAGCTCGGACTTTCCAAGTTTTCGGTGAATTCCCCGGGCGTGAACAGTTGGTCCATATCTTTTACCCATCTTTTCTCCCGCCAGCTCCCCAGGCCCCCCAGCGACCCCCAACCTCTGGATCGCTAGTCCCGGCCGCTGGCGCTCTCCCAACGCCCCAGACGCGCCCCCAAAGGCTTCCGCGGACACCTCCAAGCCTATTTAGCCCCTTGCAACAGGACGTGGGTCTGATGCTGCCATATTGAAAGGAAGGAAACAGCCGGCTCCTGACGCAGACTGGCTGAGTCCCAGGGGAGAGAGCGCACTGCCTCTCCCGGGGGCGCTTTGCTGGGAAGAGCTTGCGTGCATCTCAAGTTCGGTGAATAAGTGTGGAGGGATTTTTCTTCAAACCGTGCGGGAACGGATTTCAATTCCAGAGCGAACAACAGCAAGAATAAGCTCTACCCAGCTGCAGCGGCTGCGTTCAGCCTGGCTGCGCCCAGCCCAAACAATAAAGAATGCAAGCGTTTTCGCTCCGAGCCCGCAGGGGCGAGAGCCGAAGAAGCTCCCTGTTCTTTGCGCGGGGCTGAGGAGAATGCAACCTGGGGCTCACTCTTGGGAGATCGCGCTTCAGTCCCCGCCCGTCCCCAGGGGCCCCAGAAAGTTTCTTGAAAGTGCAAACTCTTACCTGACCCAAAAGGTCGTAGCCCAGCTCTTCGGCTATGGCCGAGGCTGCCTCTGGTCCCCCGGGGATCTCCGCTGCCCATTCGTTCACAAACTGCCTCTTCGCTTTTACACTGTTCGATGCACACCAAGCGCAAAAGAGAGCGAAAGCAGTGCACTGCAGAGTCCAGGCTCCTCGCTGCATGGCTCACACGCTCGCTGGCACAGAAGTAGGAAGCAGAAGGGGGGAAGAAGCCAGACAGGAGAAAAGCCAGACAGATTCGCTCTTTCCACACTCGGGCTCAGGACCACCTCTCGCCCCGGTTGCTCTGGGAGAAGAGTGGAGGGACTGAAGGAGAGGCTGGGCGGTGGCGAGCGCTGAGTGCAGTTCTTTCGTCTCTGGCTGAGTGGAGCCCCAGCCCTTCCCCGCTGGAATGGAAATGAGTGTTTACACGTCAAATCTACGAAAGCCATCTCTTGACGTCAGATCTACCTGGACTAAGATCTGGATGGTATTCCTGGCGGGGTGGAGAGGAGGCTAAAATTAGCAGCGAGGGATTAAGAAAAGGAAGGAACCATTTGCTGGGATCAGTTAACACTGTCCTTGTCTGGTCATAAATTCTGTAGCTGTGAGAAACACCTTCACTTCTAAGTGCCCCATTTGATGTGACTACCAAGAACCAAAGGCTGGGAGTGCAGTACACTTTCCCTTCCTTCTGTCCGTTTTCCTTACATTTATTTGATTATCTCTTGGGGGAGGGGAGAGAAGGATTTTTATAATGACCCTGGGGATGTCAATCAGCACCTGCTGTAAAGAGCAGGGCGTTTAAATCTTTCCAACGGGACAGGGGCTGGGAGGGCAGTAGAAGAAAAGCGTCTACTCCCCAGATTCTGATCTAAATTGCCTAAGCAAATGAGCACGTCTGGAAAACAATGTTAAAGCAATGTTTTTTAAAATGTATTTTAAACCATTCAAACCATCTTAATGAACAAGTTTACTTTTTTCTTTCCTCTGTCTCTCAATCTCAGTAAAACAATGTCTAAAATTCTGTTCTAGATATTGCAGAGCCCAGTATCACCCACTTTATAATGCTTATTGGAAAAATGATTAAGCACATGTTTTTTTTAAAAAAAAAAAAACAACAACAAACAAACCAGAAAGTTATTTCTTTATTCACAAACCAGGAAGGGACTGGGGACCCAAATGATGTTGTGTTGACTGGGCAGAGAAAGAGCAGGTTTCATTAACTCCTAACTTTCCATTTTCCTTCAGTAGAGCTCTTCACTTTGGTTTTGAACTGAAACTATGCCATTACTTTCCCATAAAATGCACATTGTCTCCTTGTGGAAGAATGTTTTTCCATGGAAAGGGAATTATCAAATGTCTAAATGAACCCCCGCCCCAGGGAATGAGTTTAGTCTACCGTGGCGGAGCCATTCCGATTCTGGGGGTTGAACCCGGCGGGAAAAGCCCTGGTGTGTAGTATTCAGCACCGAGGAATGGACAGCGCCACACGCCCTTGTGGTCAGAGCTGCCCTTCCTTCTGATCCCGGTCTGCCGCTCTTCTCCAACTGGCTAGAGCGGAACTGTTTTTCTTTTGTCCTGTGCCTTTCTTCTCTTTTAAATAGAAAATGGGATTCGACCGCAGGGGAGAAGTGTGGTTAGTTTCATGATCGTCACTACTTACATGGAACTCACGGGAACGTGTTGGACTCAGCCCCAAAGTAAAATTGCAAGGGATCAAATCTCGTATGTGAAAGGTTTTCTTTCTTTTTCTTTTTTAAACTCCCAACCGCCGGGGGGCGCAATCAATTTTAAAGAAAGAGAAGAAAAGTGATGAGATTGGAAAGAAGGCATGTTAGTTTGTGAAGAAGGAAGCAAAAGATATCCTTTACAGAAAGCAAATGAAACTTGGTGGAGAAAGCGGCTGAGTAGTACTAATTATTCAGTTGCCTCCATGTTTGCAGACATTTGGACTGCATTGATAATTTCTTTAAACATAAAGCTAAAAAAAATGCCAACGTTAATGAGCCATGCGATGCAGTTAAGTGTATCACAATAACGTGAGTAACTCACATGAGATGTTGTGAAATGGTCTCAGATTGATGGCTCTTCTGTCTGCTCTGTAAATTCACATGTGTGAGTGTTGGTGGCTGCATAAACTGTCTTCTTTCCCTTTCATGCCTCAGCCTGAATTGTGGCCTCAAACTCTCTAGGGTGTTTCATTTTCACAGTAGACAGATGCTGTGTGCTAGCAAAGCAAAAGAAACTGTGGCAAATGTTTGATAGTGGTAGATACGGTTAGAGCAGAAATAGTTTGCCCTTTCTTATTATTGTTTGAGAAAATCAATTTGGCAGTGTTGGCAATGAGACCAGGGTCTCGTTAATGAAACATTTGTCTTAAATGGAGCACCCTGCAAGCCTGGAATAAACATTTGGTCGATGTACTTAATAGGGTAAACTACTTCTCATAGTAAGAAGGTAGTATCCCCACCCAAACAATATATATGAGTACTTTATTCTGAAATTGACTGAATTTTATCTGATGAGCATTATATGCCAGTTTCTGGGATGTAGAAGAAATGAATGTTTACTAAGGCTAGGGGTGCACATTAAAATGTAGGATCCGCCCTAGCCGGTTTGGCTCAGTGGACAGAGCGTCGGCCTGCGGACTCAAGGGTCCCAGGTTCAATTCCGGTCAGGGGCATGTACCTTGGTTGTGGGGCACATACCCAGTGGGGAATGTGCAGGAGGCAGCTAATCGATGTTTCTCTCTTATCGATGTTTCTGGCTCTCTATCTCTCTCCCTTCCTCTCTGTAAAAAATCAATAAAATATATTAAAAATAATAAAAATAATAAAAATGTAGGATCCATCTTAACTTTGTCAAATTAAGGGCTAACTAGCCTATCTTGATATGTGGATCATAATAATAACCTACAGGCCCATCAGTTTTGTATTTATATCATGAATTAGAAGAGCCAAGTTAGTTTTAATAGCATTTGCTTCATTTGCTTAATTTATATATAAAACAGGATAATTAAGAAACTGAAGAAGATTGTAATTCTGTTGTGAATTATCCAGTGAGTATCATGCCTTTCATGATTGCTCCCATCTGCCCAGTGATACAGTTAATTATTTATTAAGTTTTCTTAGAGAGTAATAAGAGCAAGGCTAGTATGAATGAGAAGTAAGAATATGTTCAAAGACCTGTAGATCAACATATCTCTTTAGTTTTAGAAAACAAAATTTTAAACCTTTTGTTACTGTGAAATGAAGTATTTACACTACTAATAGAGTGCCCAGAACAATGTGCTCAATAATTTATCACAAAGTGAACACTGTGTAGCCATTCAGATCAAGAAAAAGAACATTGCTAGCCCTTCAGAATAATATTCCAAGATTTTCAAGGGGCATAGGAGAAGGAGTGAGGACATAACTTAGGTTTAACATTTTCTAGTTGTGCAGACTTACCTGTTTCCTGTGGGTAAATACTAACTGTATATTAAGACAATTCTGTAATTAACTAGTCTGTAATGAAACTAGAAGATATCCGGTAACAGAACATATTATAAAGGCAAATCTACCAATAGCAGTGTTTCCCAACATAAAAAATAACAATTTTTATATGGCATGCTGGAGTAAACTGGAGGAAATTTGGGGAGAACTGTATGAGGCTTGGTGAAGAGATTCATTACATTTTTTTTCTAAAGACATTTTATTATATTTTTTGTTAATCCTTACCCAAGGATATTTTTCCATTAGTTTTTAGAGAGAGTGGAAGGGAGGGGGAGAGACAGAGAGAAATATCAATGTGAGATTCCCAGGGCTGGGGATCGAGCCTGCAACCAAGGTACTTGCCTTTGACCAAAATCAAACTCAGGTATTTTAGTCTGCGGGCTGACGCTCTATACACTGAGCCAAACTGGCTAGGGCTCATTACATTTTCTTTATATAAAACAATTTTGGTAAGAAAATAGAATATAACATTTGGGCAGTATATTAAAATTGAATATATATTACTTTGAATTGAGAAATATGAATATACTTGCATCCATATAACTTTTTGCCTCAAATCAAATTTTATGTTTGAAAACCTAGGTACTATTTCTAAGAAAAAAACATTTTAATCAAAATCTTCTCAAATTCTTGATAGCTGCTGTCAATGAAAAATTTTAATTTGCATAAATAAAGAATAAACATTTTGAAATAACTTTTATAACCATTAAAACATTTGCAAAATTTGATTTTAAATATAGCAACTCTTCCTTTTACTTCCTTACCAAATTTACCATTGGAATGTCAAAAAGAATGCTATAGGGTTTAAAATCCACCTAAATTTTGTATGTCAAGTATTACAACTTATACTGCAATTCTAAATTTAAAAATACACACTGTTGTCCATGTCCATGAAAAAATAAGATAAAAATAAATTTTAAAAATACACATACCTTTTAGAGATGTTACCATGCACTTACTTTGCTACAAATGGGTAAACATGTTTAATCTATGGAAAGGCTGATATTAGGACCATCACCTAAAGATACATGGCTGACTTTCTTATCCCCCATGGCCTAATTTTGGTGGGTATGCTATGCTAATTAAGCACTCAGAACTTGAACTTCTCCAGCAGATACACAGATCCTTTTCCCATGATGGAAAAGGACATGCTTGCAGCAAGTTGCTGAAGTAGATTTCAAGGTGATGGACATTCATTCAGCTATTAGCCCTTTGTCAGAGATATTGTTTGCAAATATCTTCCTCCATTCATTTGGTTGCAGTTTTGTTTTGCTGATGGTTTATTTTGCTGTGAGGAAACTTTTTTAGTTGGATGTAGTCCCATTTATTCACTTTTGCTTATACTTCCCTTGCCTTTGGGGTCAAGTTCACAAAGACCCCTCTGAGACCAAGGTCCATGTTTAGTGCCTATATTTTCTTCTATGAATCTTATTGTTTAAGGTCTTATATTCAAGTCTTCAATCCATTTTGACTTAATTTTTGTGTATGGTGTCAGATAGCAGTCTGGTTTTGTTCTTTTGCATGTGGCTTTCCAGTTTTCCCAACACTATTGAAGCTATTTTCCTTTCTCCATTGTATGTTTTGGGTTCCTTTGTTGAAAATTAGTTGCTAGTATATGTATGGGTTTATATCTGGGCTTCCAATTCTGTTTCATTGGTCTGTTTGTCTGGTTTTCTGTCAATACCATTCTGTTTTGATTACTGTAGATTTGTAATATAGTTTAGTCAGAGATTGTGACACCCCCAGCTTTGTGGAACAGGTTATTTTGAAATATGCATTTACTAAATGAGTTTTGGAATATTCCTGCTTCTGTTTCCATGCCATGCTCCTGCTTCCTCTATGCTCTCTAACACTGCCATTTTCACATGGGAAACCCAG